ATATATCTATAAAAAACCCTAAAAACCCTTATATCCGTATGGCGCATACATGCTAGTTCCCCATGGACACTATCAGCTGGCCTTAACGATAGCAACCGTTCCCTTCTGTTAAATTTGGTCACACATAGAATATGACATTTCTGTGACAAAAGGTCAAATTGGGGAATTGTAGTTGGCGTGTGACATGTGTGACACTGAGTCCACGTGATGTGTGACACCGAGTCCGCAAGTGGACATGTGTACATGAGGGTGAGTTTGGAATGTGCATAATATGCATAGGACATGGTTGAATGTTATTGGCTAAAGACTTACTTTATGAAAGTCAATAGTTTGCAAACATGAAACTGTTACTGTATATGGGTACGAAAAATTAAACTTTGTAAAATAGTGTAAAAAATATAGATGATGGCGACAGTGGCAAGTGGTGCCTAATTCTCCCGCTGCCCCGGAAGTTTAGGCTTACATGACTACTTTACGACCGCTCGCATCCGAACTAACGTCTTCGAATCTCGTCCCATCTATCGCCAACGGCAACATTCACCACGATCACAACTTCTGATTATGATATGAGGCTTCTGTAGCGAACTTCATACAGTTAACTATATGCGTCCAGAAGGACTCCCGCAGAGCAAAACCGGAAACACTTTCACAGCTAGCGCTTCATGCTCTGGTTTTAGGGTTTTAGGGTTTTAGGGGTTAGGGTTTAGGTATCTTTATTTGTTTACACGCTATTGCTATATACAATGCCTGATGTCCGGGGTGGACTTGTGGCTACCGGCAGGTGTTGGCAGTTCCCGTGACCCTGCTTTTCAGGGGAGGGCGAACTGTACTATCTAAAGGCTGAGTCTTTTGCGGTCTGTGGTTGTTGTACTTGTTGGGTTGTTTTCCTTCGGTGTGGTAATCTAGTAGTGAGTCCTGTAGGTTTTTATAACCGTACCTGACTTGATGGAGATTCTGTGAGTAAGCTGTGACAGATATGCATATCGTTTCATTGAATATGAGATATGATACAGTGGCTCACCAGTGTATCATACTCACTGCCGCATCACCGGGTCGTGGTGTACGACTGTGTCTGCCGGTAGGCATTCAAGGTGGATGAGTTCGGGGCGGAGGGTGTTTCATAGCGGAGTGTATGTTAATATATGAGCTATTCAAATTCAAGTCAATGCATATCTGTCGCAAGCATATTCGCCAGCGTCCGATCAAATCAGGTGGGGTTACGCTACTACAAATGTATGAGAGTGTAATGTCTATGGGGATGTGATTGTCCAAGTCCTGATCTATATCGAACAGGGGGTGTATGTGATGGTTCGGGAGTTTGCGTGTCCAGAACTGGGGTGCCGCTATATAGGCACTGGCCTGTGGGTGAAGTGTATTGAAGTCCATTTGCGGATTGTCTATCCATAGTATTCTGTTTGCTTGTTCAAAGCGTTGTCTGCGTTCTAACGAAGGCCAGATATACTCGTTATGTGGGTGTTCAGAGTCTATGAGGAGGGTGTGTACTATTGTGGTCATGAGCCGTGGCACTGGGAACACACAGTTCATCAGTATTTGGGGTGGTATGGATCCTTTGTGCAAGTACACCAATTGGTCGTGTAGTGTGAGCATGTCGGTGTAGCGCTTACGGGTGCTAAGGGCGTCAAGTAAGTTGCTATCAACTACAATCTCTTTCTGTGGTGAGATGAGTTTGGACATGTAGGGGAGCACGAGGGGACATTTGAAGTGTGATGTGGTGAAAGGGGTGTTGCTGCAGCCAATGCATGTGAGACCTGCCGGGGTCTTTTCTAGCGTGAACATATACCTGTTCGTGATGTACAGTGCGACTATCGTTGGTACTCTAGAGACTGCTGAAGCTGTGATATTCGAGTGGCGTGTCGAGCCGGTACCGCTCTTCCTCGCCTGGGTAGATGAGTCCAAATCGGAGTGCGCGAGCTGCTTGTCGATGTAGCGCGCTTTCCTTTTTGTTTGGCTTTCTATTTGTGTATGCTTGTTTCAGTTTCCTGTATGTTATGAACGGAGGGTAGTGAAGTATGTTCTCGCGAGCGAGCATAGTGAGTCTCATAGGGGTGAATATGGTTGCTTGTTTGCCCAGATATTCCTGTAAAGGATTTCTGTGTGACATGCGAGTTATATGATTTAAAGACTCACGCACTGCCAAGTGCATAATGCTCGTGCGTTGAGGAGTCCACAGAACTGAATTTGTTTCAGCATAGTTGGTGTGGCTTTTGTTGGAGTCTTTTTGTGTGCGGCAGTGGAAAGGATATATCCAGAGGCTTTATGAATTACGGTATCGAGCTTGTCGAGTTGTGTATTTATTTGTGAAGTGAGCGAGTAGTATGATAGTGGAATAAAAGCAAGACCGTAAGTGATTTTCGAAAGTATAAATACTCGGAAGATCATGAGCTTGTTGTGTGGGTGTAGGTGGGTACCGGCTCGAAAGCCAAGCGGGCCACTATGGCTGATCGAATCGCTTAGTGTATTTATACGCGTTTCTAGCATTTGTACCACGTCTATACCCTTGGGTCCCATAGGGAATTCCAAGTATCTAGCAGTGGGGTGGGCGTCAATACTATTCAGTCCAAGCATGAATGTGTGTGCGAGTTTGGGATTTTGCGGTGCTACGTTTATTGATTTCTTTGGGTGGAATTCTACCCCAGAGCGTTTACCCCATACATAGGCATGGTTGAGGCTTAGTTGCAATTTAAGATGGTCGCGATTGTATATTGATAAGTCGTCTACCCAGCCGAGGAAGCCTCGGGGGTCAGCTTTAGCAAGACTATCGAGTAGCGGGTCAATGTATATGTTGAAGAGTGTTGGAGTTATTGGGTCGCCCTGTGTTAGACCCTGGGCACGTGTGAACGTTGGCCCAAGGACTTGTTGATATGTAATACGGGAAGCTACATTGTGGTACATGTTTTGGAATAAGGTAATTAATGGAGTGGGTACCCGTCTATTATGCAGAAGACGCCACAGACGATCAAGATGCTTTCTTAATGTCAAGAAATACCTGGTGT